AAAAAAAAAAAAAAAAAAAAAAAAAAAAAAGACAGCAGCAGCTTGAAGCTGCTGCCATGGAGAAAGGAAGAATGGACAGGTGGTTGAAGGGAAACGAAAGAAAAGAGAGGATGATTAGAGGAGGTGGAAGCGTGGGATGGATTAAGCTTTAAAAAGGAAGAAAAAAAACGAAGATTGGTGATTCGTGAAAAACCCAGAAAACAGAGGAGGAAACTTTCTGAGAATTCGAGTTTTGGTTGCTTAAAATTGGACATCAATCGAGGGTAAAGGAAGAGGGGTTGTTGCTGAGGAATCGTTTGAGGAAGGGGATACAGCCACGAGCTGAAGCGGACGGTAATTCGAAGGTAACGAAAAAACCCACATCACCGAACCTTTAAATCTCGATATCTTGGTTCGTATTGTATAATAAGTTATGAAATAGGGCTTGTTAGAAACGTAATAAGGAGATCTATAAATTTGTAGAAGGAATCAGGATGAAATTCGAACCGTAGAAGGAGAATATGGCTTCGGGATATAGTAGGTATTAACAGAAAAGATGGGAAATTTCAGAAAAACGCAAGGAAGAAGAAGAAGCGCGTGCACTACACGCAGGCGCGTGAGGGACACGACTGGGCGTGCGACTGGCGCGTGGGACAGACACACCGAGGCGCGTGAGGGCGCGTGAAGCGTCCGTTCGGTTCCCGGTTTGTCCCGTTCGATTTGTTTTGACCTGTTCTACCTAGATTGACCTATACTTACCTTGAAAATGGTGAAATATAGGTCTACTTGGAAGGAATTGTGTCGAAATACCCTATTAAATGTACAATCAAGAGAGAAAGGGATTCGAAACCATGTAAGTAGCGTATCGACCTTTGAACTAGTTCTTAACTTGTTTTACAACATGTGAGTATGTTGTTTACCTGATTAAGAGCTTAATAAGTTATGATGAGCTTCGATGATAGTTCGTGTTTATTGTATATTGTGATTGCTTGCCTGTGATGTAAGCATGATATAAACGATTGTCAGAATGTCTACGTATTGATCATGATACATGTATGAAAGCATGCAGTAACTGTGAGTATGTTATGCATGTTAATGGAAAGGTTATGACTCTAGATATGCTTATTGGTGGTTGAGCTATGACTTATTTACTGAGTATGATAGTCTACTAATTCCCGCGGAGTTCCTGGCCAACGCGCTGTGTGCTAAGTCAGGGAGCATGAGTACTCCTGACCGTTGGTATATGAGATAAACAGGCCGCCAGAGCAATTAGTAGACGGGCCGTATTTGACCGAGAGCGAGTCTTACATACGAGTCCGAAAATTCTAGATAAGCATATCGAGAGAGAGTCAGTAACCTAGCTGGAGGTAGCTGAGATACCTCATTAACGAACAGATGACCCTAGTAAGAGAACTAGGAGTCAATGATGAATAAAACCTAAAAACACCTAGAAAGATTAGTTATGAACTCTTGAGTGATAAGCTAGCTACTTACTGAGTAATCTAATTACTCATCAAAATTATTATAACTTTTCTTTCCAGATTTAGATGATGCAGGCCAACCGAGGGCGAGACCAGCGGACTGAAGACTACTGGGAATCCATGTCGGTGTCTGTTTTGTATATTTATGTTTTCGCTGTCAAGAATTTACTTCGGTTGTTTAAATTTAAATAGCATTGTTTTAAATGTTTTACTGAATGTTTTTTTTTTAATCATTTTGAGATTATGATTGGGTATTAGAATATATTGTCGTTGATGATGGTAACCCCTGTTAATCGCGTTGACGATGAGCGGGCGTTACACCACCGCTAGTAGATATTATCCGTTTTAGTTTGTTATGTATCGTCGTCACCCTCACGATTTTAAAACACACATATTAGAAAGAGGTTTCCACACATTTGTAAGAAATGTTTCGTTTTCATCTCTAATCCATGTGAGATCTCAGAATGGAAATCGTTTTTACTTTTAAGAAACGATGAATAGGTAACGTGATCATGTTGCAAGAAAATGTTGAGACCATCAGATAAAGAAATCGAATTTCGAATCGTCGAAATTATCAGTGGTTGGTAGCGAAGCACGTCATCTTGTAAGCGGAAAGTTATTGAGATTTGAGGAGAAGATCGAAAAGGAAGGGTGCGAGGGGAGAGGGGCGAGGGGTAGAGCTGGCTGGAGCAAGGCTGTCATGGGCAGGGAGGGTGTTGTGTTGACTGTGAAAAAATTCCACGGAAAGGACAGCGACAGTCCAGCTAAAGTACCAAACAATATTGTTTTCCTTTATTTATTTTATTTTATTTTTAACAATAATAAATTCATACGCCAAACTGTTCTGTACTATACTCACTCAATTCCCTGCTCACATTTTTCTTTTTTTATTTAAATTAATTCCACTTTTTTCCAACATTTGAATCATTAATAAATATTAACAATATCATGCCTTTTCTATTCGCTTTCTTAAATGTCCAACGATCTAATTGTCATACCGTTTCATATCTGGTTTTAATACCATTTATAACAGTTCAAGCTCACTACTAGTAGATATTGTCCGTTTCGACCCATTATGTATCATCATCAGCTTCACAATTTCAAAACGCGTTTGCTAACAAACAATTTTCATACCCTTAAAAAAAAATGTTTCGTTCCCCTCTCCAATGAATACGAGATTTTACAATTCACCCCATTTGAACCCAACATCCTCACTGACACACCATCTAATGTCTAACTATGATGTCATTTCTAAAAGTTACCGGCAGTAAATATATCAACTTGAACTGTTGTACCTTTTTTACACCTTATATAATTATATAGTTAACATTAAAAAAAATGAATTTTTTTATTAAAGTATTAATATGACATCATTGCAAGCAAGGGACGTTTAAGTAAATTTACATGTGTGGGGAAGGGTAAAATTGGAATTAGGGAAATATATAGAAGAAGTGGAGCATGAAGTTTCCAAGAACATGCAATGTTAGACTTTAAATCATTTACAATTTTTTCTCTCAATTTTCCCATTTCTAAATCTCATACCAAACTCGATAAAATCGACTTCAAATATAAGTTATGTGGAACAAAATTACAAAAATAGAAATATAAATATAAATATTAGAATAAAATATAAGATATGCATAATCTCGGACAATAATTATGACAATAATTAAATAATGAACCTCACTTAATTATTAGAATGTGCCACATAAATTCCATTAACATAATCCATAAATCATACAAGTATGTAAGTTACCTTAGATCAAATTATACAAAATATTGATGAATTTGGTCGATCACTCCAAGAACAAAAAAACAACCACCAAAAAGATTGGACAGGTTTTTGGGTGTAAGTTCTTGGATGGAAAAGATAATAAAAATCATGAAAAGAAACAATCTTCATCTGGGGTTTGGAAATTGGTTGGATCTGAGTGATAAAGTGGATACTAATTGTTTTGGTCTTCGATTCATCATCAATTTGGACCAAAACCCAGGATTCGTTGCTTGAGTGGGCGTTGATCTTCTTTTGAACAAGGAAGAAATGGAGGATTTGGTTCTGGGAAAGTATGGGGAGGCGGAGGAAGAAGGGAAGGAAGAAGAGTAATAAGAGGATAGAGATGATAATGAAGAAGATGAAACGGATGCCGCCGCCGTTGCCGCCGTCTCCGCCGCCATTACTGGTTTTGTAATTGTTAAATTACTCAGCTTTTCTCTTAGACAAAGTGAGCACACGCCTGGTGATTGCTTGTGTTTTGGGTGCTTCCGACATCGGCTACTATTGCTGCTGCCGCTGCCGTGGTTGGGCTTTCTTCCCTTTGCCGCCGCCGTATGACCCTTTAGTTTTCTCAGATTCTTAGGCATTGTTGTGGTGGTGGTGGTGGTTGTATCATTTTAAATTCGGGAAGGTTTTTGGTGTTGGGAAAGGATTAAATGGAAAAGTAGAAAGTGGGTGCACTTCCCGGATCCTTCATCGGCAACTTCCTTGATTTTTCTCATTAAAAAATTAAAATAAATAAATAAACATATATATATATATATATATTTATTTATTTATTTAAATTTTAATTTTCTTGGTTGAAAATTGGTGTTTTGACTGGTTGTGTGTACACAAGTTGGCAGTTTGAACAGCTGTGATTGGAGGAGACAGTTTCCGGTGGGGACCACTGCCACTCTTCTTTTGGAAATTGAACCGCCCCCACCTCGACTCACCAGCCGTGGAGCCCAAACCGGACATTATTTATATTAAAATATTCATAAATTTACCTTCAAATTTCAAAAATGTTTAATAAATACAATTTTTTTTATGACACAATATCTACCGTGAATAAATATAAAAATATTATTACTCAACAAAAGAATACAGATTTAAGAATTAATATTTACAATCTTTAAATAGGATACAAGATATTAAATAATACCTCTAAAAAAATATAAACTAACTAACTCTTAAAAATAAAATAAAATATACTACCATTCAAATTTAACGGATTACAAATATACAAGATATATATTATTGCCTACTATATTATTCAAATATTAAATGATTATGAATATCATATATTCCATTAACTAATTCAAATTAGAAATTAGTTGCTATTAATACTTTGATTATTAATATTCTTAAATATAATTAACCTTAGCATAAGAACTTTTAAAAGTTTTAAAAAATATATATATAAAAAAAAGGGTAATTTTAGAGTTTTTTTTTTTTAAATATTTTTCAAAGTTTAGATGTAAAATTAATATTTATTAAATTTTTATTTTAAAAATCTAAAGGTATGTTTTAGTTTTTTTTTTAAAAAAAAAAATTTAAATGAAACTTTCAAGAAATTTGTTCCAAATAATTGGAATTAAATTAAAAATTTTCACATTAATAATTAATTTAGGGAAACAAATACACGACAAAGAAAAAAAACAACCCAAGCAAAAGATGAATTTTCACAAAAGACACTACATAGTGAGCATCCTAAAGCGCAGCCAACAAGCCCAGGGTGGCGGCGCCCCAAGTGCAAACCACGGCTGCAAACGCAGAGGCGCCACAAGCGGAAGATGCCTCCACGGGAACCTTAGACGTGGGAGAGTTCACCAATGAGGAGTCCGCATCTTTGGGAGTAGCACCAACCAATGGCGTCACAGGAGCAGTAGCTCCAACAGAACTTGGCGCTTCGGACGGTGGAAGTCCATCACCAATGGGAGCTGAGGCTATAGAGGGGGGACCTCCAGCTTCGGCAGCTGTGACCGCTAGCTTCATACCGTTGCCACAGTGACCAAATGCACCACAAATGAAGTAATGAGTGCCAGGCTTCTTGAGAGTGATGGACGTGGCGCCAGAGCTGTCGCTACTAATGGAATTGGCGGCCGTACAAGAGGTGTACTCGCTAGCACTCACTTCGTCCACCGTGTGCCCACCCCCATAATTGAACACTGCCACGTCATAACCAATGGGTCATAAAAAAAAAAAAAAAAAAACTATAAAATGTACGATATAGCCAGACAAGTTGGATGTAATTTCTCAAATTAATATATTATTATGTTAAATATATGTAAGACATGATTTTGAACTGACCCAATGTGTCGCCTACGGTGAAGATTTTCCCGGAGGACCAAGAGGGGTAGTCGACGCCGGTGGACCAACCAGCGGTGTCGCCAACAGTGTGGACAGTGGCAAAGGTTGGGATAGCCATGGAAATGGCAATGGTGGCTAAGGCAAAAAATGCAGTTTTGGAGGAGTAAGCCATTGGAGTTGATGGTGAAGGGGGAGGGATGGGGTTAAGCATTTATAGAATAGAAGGTGGGAGTGGGTTAGGTTCATGAATCATGTAGATTCCATTGATGGAACCAGAACAAACAAGAAGGGTTCGCCGAATTGGTGGAGGAGATGATGGGAGTCAGCTCAAAAAGGGAGAAGTAGGTGTACTGGTAATCAAGTAGTTGGGTCACCGCCCCCCAAATTCCTAACGCACCAACTTAATTAACCACAACCAAAGTGGGCTTATTAGAGCTTCTCTACTGCCCCCAACCACCCTACTGCAACGTTGGCTCCCGCCCCAATTGGCCACATATTGAAATCAGTGCATGCTCACCTTTGTGAACCATGCTCGCCCTTGTGTAGAGAAGTACTACAAATTCAATATTACTTGAACTCGAAAGACTATGGTTTATATACTTTAATAATATTAAATTAATAAAATAAAATAAAAAATTAATTAATTAAAGATCCATTTATTAATATAAGCATTACATTTATTGGATTGTTTCATAATTACGATTCGTATTTAAAATAATTATTAGAATATTATTATAAATATAATATTTGAATATTTGATTGAAGAGGTTGGTCTAGGGTTTGGGTTTTGCGTCGCCTTCTTTACTTCCTCCTTTCTTCTTAATTAATGAGTTCAACCCGTCGTCAAATTTCTCCACCTGAGGTAATTTATATTTAGAAAAAATCAAATTATAAATAATAATAATAATAATAATTGATCGAATTATAAGGAAAATTAATAATTATAATAGATAGTTAGCTAACACGTTATCAATTTTAGACTGAAAAGGACAGGATTGTCAAATTAGATTTCTCAATGGAGTAGGGTCGGTTACGTCTTTTTGGTTAGGTAGGGGCCGAGGGTTCTATAAAAAAAAACACGTGGATAATAATATATTTAAATATCATGCCTCTATCCTTTTATTATTTCATTAAAATTATTGTTTTTTACGATTTTTTTATTTTTTATAAGGAAACATTTTAATTTATTGTCAAATTGAAAAATAAAAATGATTTTTTAGTTGTCTTGAAAAACTTTTTTAAAAAATAAAATAAATTATAAGTAAAATAATTTAATTTTTTTTTGTTAATAATAAGTAGAGTCTTTTAATGAGGTGGAAAGGGAATTAAATTAATACACGCAATTAATAATAATTATTTATTTATGTGACGAAAACGTCTTTAACATTTTAAAAAGTTAGAAAAATGAAATTATAAAAGTTTAATTTGAATTTTGAAAAAGAATTTTAAGTTTTAATTTTCCAGTTCAAGATTAAATTAATTAAAATACTTTTGAATCTTACCCTTTATTTTTTTTCGATATTTTAAAAAATTTCATTAATTTTCCTAATTTTTTTTCTAAAAAATTAAAATATAATTAAACAAATACATATTTTAATATTTTGTTTAAAAAATACGACTAAAAGTTTAAAGATATTATTAATGATATTTAAAAAAAAAGCTGTTAAAAGTTTAAGAATATTTATGAAATAACTACAAATTTAATATATATATATATATATATATTTCTTTCTCGCGTCTCCTTTTGAAGGGGAAAAGCTTTCGCATTTCTAATCTGGTGAGGGCCGGATGGCTTTGTTTGTCATAGCTTGACGAATCGCATCCCCGTGCAACGATATTGTTTGTGCGCCCCTTACTGTTCTCGCTCAATGTTTGCAACAACTGGAGAGGCAGTCGTAGAAGTGAAGCCTATCGCCACACCGACCTTCTCAAAGATTTGATGGAATGGCCCCAAGAGCGCTTATGTCATATGGGAACTCAGGCCCGGAAACAATCCTTAATATATATATATATATATGAATAAAATAAGGTTGTGAGCTAAGAAAAAGTGAAGGGATGGAGTGGAGTGGTAAGTTTGGAGAAAAGGCCTAACCTTGCCGATAATGTCCGCCGCCAAATTGGCGTCCTTAGCAACGGTTTCAGCTGTATTTTCCACTAAAACTGCCGTTTTTTGGAGTATGCTGTCTTTGGGGAGATGATCAGCAATCTCTTCCGCCACCTTATCCACTTCCTCCGCCGCCGTCTCCACCATATCTACCACGTCCTCCGCCACATGCACCACCTTCTCCACTCTCTCTACACAAATTCAACACAAATTACGCATACCAAAAAGAAAAAAGTGTTCAAATTGATCATTATATTCCTCACGCTTTAACATAAGAAAAGGCTTCCAATATTTGGTCGTCTTCCAAATGGATAGAATTGCTGACAGCACCGCCCCTGCTACCCACAATGGCCTGCCAAAAACAACACTCTGTTTGTAATTTTCCACCTGGAAAATACGACAAAAAAAAAAAAAAAATTAATTCAAACATAATTTAAATACCAAGGAGTCAATGGGGGAGGAGGAGGCGGCAGAGGAAGGGGAGATCCAAGGCCGCCGCCGACGCCGTAAACCGCCATGTCTCTGTAAGTAGTGATATGGGTGGCTCTGTTTTTGGGAATTGTGCGTGGCAACGGCAAGCTCTTGGCTCTGTGAAGGAGATGGCTGAGGTTAAGGTTTGATCCATGGCGGCGGGAGTCGACGGCGGAACGGAGGTTGGCTGAACGGGAGGAAACTGAAATGATCGACATTTGTGAATGAATGGGATCGGTGAATTATGAATACTTATGGCGTAGACAATTCAAATATATAAGCCTTTCAAGTCACCCTACCTAACTCGTTTATTGATTCTTATATTTATTGCTTTACATTATTTCTAAAGAAAAAATGGGTTTAAAATGTATATTATATATGCTTTGATCATTTTGAAATTAGTTGTAGTTTGGAAGCGTTTGGCCTACCGAGTCAGGGTTGCGTGAACCTGTTTACAACACAACTCCGACTTTGAAACTTATTGTCTTAAGCCTATCGCTAATAAATATTACCTAGATTTGTTATTTATTACATCTCACAGTTTAATGAATCTTTTGCCCACTCCATTGGAGGTAGAATCTCACAATTTTATATGTTCTAACCCATTTACTGTCCTAATTGATTTTTTTTCGATTTATTTATTCAAAATTTCTCAATTTAATAATATAAGCATTAGTATTATTATTATTATATAATGTGTTATAATTGTGTACAAATTATTTAAAATAAGCTACTTTTATTTTTATCTTAGGTTGAGCTACTTGTCAAGTTGCATCAAAATTCATGGCAGCACACAATTTTCTAAGTGTTTTCTTGGTACACGTGTGGGTTGATATTAGTAAAAAAATAATAATCCAAAAATATTATAATTTCGGCCCGAAGCTAAACCAGTAAACCATTAAATTTGGGTTTGGTTGAATTTTGGAATTTTTTTTTGTGGGTTGACTTTTTTTGGTCGGGTCAGCTCAACCAACTTGAAAATAGAATTACAATCAAAATTTTAACAAAATCAAAACAAAACATTTATTAAAAATTTAATAATCTGAATAGAAATAAATTTTATTTAAAAGCAATACACGAATAAATCCATCTTTTAAAAACTCATAAATTAAAAAAAAAAAATTCAATAATTTTATTGAGTAACAAAATAGTCAGAAATGTTTAATTTTATTTGCATTTTTTTAAATATAAAAAAAATATTCTAAACTCTCCATTCCTTAGTGGGCCGAGCCCACATGTTTGGGCCCAAACTAGTCTTTACAGTTTAGAAAAGGAACCATATTTCAGAGAAAAAAATGAATTAGTTTTTTAATTTTGTTCAAAATCTCCCAAATACCTTAATAATTTTTAATACTACATATTTGTTACATTGAATAAATCAATATTTATCTAATAAATATATCAAATTATTATCCTAATATAAATATAATGTTAGGATCGCTCAACAACGCACACACTCGATCCAGATGAGAATACAAAGAACGGAGAATATTAGCTAAAAGTTTGTATTGATGACAGAATATAGAAAAGTACATTTTCAAGCTCTCAGAAATACATATGATTTAACTTACTATATATACAAAATACTGAGAGTACAAGTTGTGGTTGCAGATATATATACATGATTTAACTTACTATATATAGCTTGACCAGAAATAACAATCTACAGTATACCATATATAACTTAAGTTTTTTTTTTACCGTAGATTAGATGACAATTTACTCTATATATCATTTATTAAATATAACTTTACTTTGTATAACCCGTCTGCTGCAAATTAGCATTACATATTAGATATTTGATTGAAACGACTCAAAACACGGACATAAAATTTATTATTCATCGACCAAAAAAAAGTTATTTATTATTTTAAATAAGAAGTTTTCTACACGTTAATCTCGAAAAATGGGAAAAGAGAACCAAAAGCTGAGCAAAATTAGGTAAGACCAACTTATGGGCCCACAAAGTTAGAAAAAGAAACGTTGTAATTTATATATATATACATATATATAATATAACGTATAGATTTAGCTGAGTAAATAAGATATTAATCTTCTTAAATCGGGACTATTTGAATATTATTGTCATAAATACGTTTAATTTCACCAACTTTAGACTTTGTAGCAATCTTGATGAAGACATACTACCAAATATTGCTTTTAACTCGATAGATATATTTATTTTTTTAAAAATTTAAATTATGAATAAAAATAATGTTAGATGATTAGTACAAACAACCCAACTTGTTTGCTCGCGTCATGACATTAATTAAAATTGGTTTTTTTGATGGGTAGGGGAGAGAATTGTCTCGCTTAAGCGTTACGAGCTAAAAGGTAGTTGGTAGTAACGTAAATTAATTTATACGACAAATTCCTTGGTCTCGATCATTATAAGATTTATTTTAAATGTTTGAAAACTGAACAAAGTCTTACGCCCGAGTAAGAGGAATATCATATCACTTGGACTTTCTGTTTCGGGCTTTCTCTCAAGGTTTTTAAACGGAGTGAGAGATTTCCAGACCCTTATAAATAATGCTTCCCCACTTAAGCCCACTGCTAGCAAATGTTATTTTATTTGGGTTTTCCTTCGAGCTTCCCTCAAGGTTTTTGCATATGTGGAGGA